TGACGGCGCTGCCCAGAGTGGCCAAGGCAGCGGACCGCAGGGTGTGTTGGAGGCAGGATATGTCGATCTCAAGGCTCACCAGAAGCATAAAGAAAACGCGGAGGGCCGCTGTGAGATTTCTAAGCTGCCCATAATTTCCGAGGAACATGTTGTGCGATCCGAGGACCGCCTTACTAAGGAGGAATCCGGCCTGCACGGATCAAAAATTGCGGTTAATATGAACTGTCGCCTCATTTACTATATAGAATAGAATATTGGGTTAATGTTTATCCCCTTTTTTTTCATTTTTTTTTTTTTTTAAATAGCTATGTACAGTCACTGCATATGCGACCTCCGGGACCGTGAAGGAAATTTCCGTAGTCTTCTCTGCGGTTCAGATTGTTCCGCGCGCGCTACGTACGTCGTCGCGTTCTAATAATTAAGATGACTACTCTTTATGCCAAGAGTCAGCATTAATTCCGACAGTCTAGCTCATGGATATATTCCGGCTTGAGAGTTTATTAGGGCCTGTTTGTTTTGCTAAAAAAAATGAGAAATGTCCCGCCACCTCACCTTTCAAGAAAACCCTCATGTGCCACATAGGTTTTTGATTTCAAGTGGTTTCCATTTCATGTGTTTGTTTCGTCTTTAATTTTTAAGAAATGAAGTGCCACATGTGTTGCCACCTTAATTTTTCAAGAAATGTGTTTTCAGCCCAAATTGGGCTGAAAACACTTGGAAATGTCCCATCTGAGAATAGTTAATTAATAAAAGCACTGTTTGAATAGTTCAAAAGAATAAAATGAAATATTTAAATGCCACATTTCTCATTTCCTTTTTCTTGTTCCCAAACAAACACAAGAAATAGAAATCAAAGCACTGTTACTATGGAGGCTTTTTTTGTCTGTTTGTGTGACTTGGCAGTGAAAATGAACATTTTCTTTACGAAACAAACAAAAGAAATGAAAACTATGAAATGTCTTGAAACGTCTTGAATTCATTTCAAGAGCTATATTTCCATTTCCGAATTTTTTGTGGAAATAGCCAAACAGGCCCTTATTAGAAAGTAACGTACGGAGGGCTCTAAGGGCTGCGCATCATTGACAATATGTAAATAAAAACTAATTAAGACGGTCGAGTTCGAGGAACTTACGAGCATTTGCGAGACCGCCGACGGTTGACCGAGGCGTTTGAGGAAGAAGTGGAGGCCGTGAGAGATGATAACGAGGAGGAGGATCTCCAGGACGACGCACATCGATACTAAACTGTTGCCCGTAGCACAAGGGACATCGCTGGCCACGTTATGATTATAATATTTGTCCACAAATTTGTAGAAAATAGATTGTTGATCCATTTTTGTTTTTGTTTTTTTTTTGTTTTTTGCTCAATTTCTCCCTTTTCCTGTCTGCAACAAATTTTATGTGAGGAAGATAAAGAAAAGCAAAAGGAAACAAATATTGCGCAACGTGTGTGTATATATATATATCCTATATATCTTTAAAAGGAAAAAAAAAGAACAAATCTGTAAGCCAACGCATGAATTCATACCTCAAAATTTGACGAGAAAAGAAAAAGAAGATCTACAAAGAATTTAAGGGGATGTTGGAATCTACACCCTCTCTTCGTCTCTCTCTTTCTCGTTCAATGAGAGAGAGGGAGGAGAGAGAGAGAGAGGATGCGACAATGAATTCTTTTTTTCCCCTTGAACCCTCTCTTTCTTTTTGTTATCTTTGTATGTCTGATATAGGTCAATTTATAGGGACCTTATATGCTATTAATAGAAATAGCAAACCAAAATAGCTTCTCGCGATTTTGTCTGCTTAATTCAAGTTTAATGGACTTCTAAAAATACATGAATATTTCTTAATTGTAGAAGTGAAATCTACAGAAAGCCTCTAATCTCTCATGAATAAGAAGACGACTGGAGTGACTGCCAAATATTGAAGTTAAATATATGCCTTGTATAAAGTAATTATGGGGGACATTTAGACTAACGAGAGGCTCTTCGGTGGGAAAATAGAGCTATAAACGTAAATACTACAACCAGCTTTAAAGTTCGATTTATTGGCATGAAAATATAATTCAGACAATAAAATTGCAGATATCAAAATAACAGGGGTTTAAAGTTGATTTCCTGCAACAAAAATTGTGTGCAACAGTTGCTTATTTTTGCAGCAAACCAAACAGAGATGCAGATCATTCCCGGGTAGTGAAGAGTAAAAAAGAACAAATAATCAGCGAAAGCCAGTCAGCAACAGTAAATGTACAACAAATGTTCCCACTTGTCAACCTCATGCTAAATAAGCTGATACATCCAGACATTAATAAGATTACAGTAATTACACACAACCTACAAGTCAGAACTCTGGAGAAGATGAAAGAAAGAGCTCGGAACCCTAATTTTGTCCAGAGTCGGTCTTGGGTATTCTTTTGAGCAATTTGTAGAAGCCGAAAACATTCTCCCGTTGCCATAGGTTAGGGATGAAAAATGAACGGTAAAGCGCTGGAGACATCTCTCTGTCTAAATAAGGCACGGCTGCTAGGGTCTGGAGATTTCTTTTTTACGGTCAGTAGGAGAATGAAAATATGAACAGAACTAGGAAGACTACGCGAAACAAAAACAAGAAGTTTACCTCCCATTTCGACAAGTCACTTCCACGAGCAGGGTATGGCCGCTTCAGATCAAGTTCTATAAGCAAGGTGCATCTGTCGATATCCCTAAGCTGTGACAGTTAACAAACAAGAATATTTAATAACAGAAGTGAGAAACTTCCTTATTGAACATGAATGGCAACGGTTGTTTGTTTATGTGGGAATCTCAAGATTCCATGGAAAATACGGGTCACACGTTGAGGATTACCGAGTCAGATCCAAAATCCTGAGCTCAAACTCAGATTAGCGGCTACCATTTACCTAAAATTTCCAAGAAGCCCTTAGCCACTGACAAAAAAAAAGAGCCCTTAGCCTAATATTTCAATTTATTCAGCCCTTAAAGTTATTATTTCCAATCCAACGTTTTGAAAAGCTAGCGCGTAGCCCGCCTAGGCGCCCCCCAGACCTAGGTGGTATTTTGGCCGCTCGCCTCGGTCTTAGGAGCGTTGTTGGGGGCATGGACAGCTTACGTGGACTGCACTGCTTAGGTCTTAGTCATGAATTCCTCTGTTGCAGCATACACATCCTCCACCCTCCTCCAAATTCCTCTAACCTCCTCCACTAACTATACACCCCCTTCACCTCCTAGGACTTTCAAGAATCTCCATCACCACTTAAATAAAGGAAAATAATCAGCCTAGGTGCCAATCTAGTGCCTAGCACTTTCTATAACATTGGCATTTATTATCAATTATTATAACTAAAATATATATAGGAGAACTGTCAAAGGCCCTGCCTAGGTTCTAGGTTCAGGGTGTGACAGTTGAGCTGCCTAGCACCTTTTTCCAATCTATTGAGTCCTCCCTTAGGTAGTTTTTCGCCAGAAACCCACTTTATCCTCAATAGATTAGGATTTTTGGCTATTTTTGGGGAAGAAACGCGAGAGGGACTCAATAGACTGAAAACGATTAGGGCTTAAAAGGTTAAAATATTAGATTAAGGGTTTCTTTAAAATTTCAGATAAAAAGAGGCTGATCTGGCTTTGAGCTCCAAAATCCTCTTCTAGAATTTTAGTTTGTTTTGAAGGAAACCTTGCTGGGAAACTGGTTGAGACTTGATGCCGCATTAGCAAAATCCCATGTCAAAATCCTCTCTTAAGAGGATTTTGGGGATAAAGTAAAAAGTGGTCACCAAATTCAACGTTTCCTCCAACATTTAACTAAAAAGAAAAAAAAATTAAATATGGAGAGATTGGGATTTTGAAAGTTGATTTTGTCACAATTCCAAATGTTCAATTTATCATCAAAACAGCCCATGAGAAGACAAGAGATTACATATTGATCAGGAGAAGCCTTGTTCTTATTGTTGAAATAAGGCGGAGCTGATGCAGTGCCTCCCAAGGTTGAATTGAAAGGAAATGGAAGAAGCCCTCGAAAGCCATCGTCTATCCATCTAACTTCGCCTATGAAAGAGGGTATGAAGAAGGATGAAGGGTAACGATGCCACTCACTTCCAACACAGAGTACAGAATCTGTAACAACATTAAGAGGTCAGATTTTGGCAAATCCAATTGTCTGAATTCTTTTGCAAATGAGACACAACATCACTTAAGATGGCAGCGATTGAAGTTCCTTTAAAAATATAATTTACATTGTTTGATTAATTGTGGACAGACCCGCTGTATTATTGCCAAATTGAACTTAATTACTCCTGCAGTTCTATTGTTGCAGATAGACCTCCTGAGTGAAAAAGTTTTGACCCTTTTTCAGGGGTCGGTCTGCGATAATAGATTTCACTCAGGCCTACCTGCAACTATAGAACTACAACGGTAGTAAGTTGAACTTAGCGATAGTACACGGGTTCTACTCACAATTAACCCTACATTTATTTCAATGGAACATAACAATTTCTCACCACTTCCAACATCTTCATAATGATAATCTAAAAGCTTGTAAACAGCCATAGGAGCAGAGTATCCGTTCAATATGGAGAATGTACGACTGTGAGAGGCACATAATATTAGACCAAGAAATACTGGTCTGAGCCCTTTAGCAACCTGCTTCCAACAGTCGGCCAGAAATTATTTTAATTTCATACTGATGGACCATTGGTACATTGACAAGAAAACAATATGAGAGGGCAGTAGACTGGACAGAAGGTTTACCTTAACAAGCAGAGATTCATCAATTGCATATTTGTCACGGAAAAGATCAGGGATACTATCTATCACAGCAGCAGCTGCAACGCATATTAGTGGATATATTGGATAGAGAAACCTGCAAGTTAAGTAGAATATTTGGACCTCACTTCTCAAGAATATCTGACAACTATCTCTTTGAAGAAATGATGTAAGAATGTACAAGAGGAAAAACTCTTAGATATCACATATAGGGGTGGGCATGGGCGGAGCCGGTTTAGGCCTGTGACCCGGTCCGCTAGGTTCAAGGCCGGGCTGGGCTTGACCCGGGCCTGGGACTAGACCTAGCCCGGCCCACAACCCGCCTAGGTGGCCCACGGTCCGTGGGTTGTGGGAGCCCATGGGTTTTTCGTTTAACTTTGGTTCCTATTTTTTAAACTTTTTAATTATATTAACCTTGTATTTGCAATTATAAAATTATTTCTAATTTATTTTTTACTAATTTAAAGTTGTATTAAACTATTTTTAAACTTGTATTAAACTTTAATCCTTGGCTAAAAGACCAATTCAATCCTTGTACTATGGCCTCAAACTCAAATTGGTCCATGCACTTTATTTTTTTCCCAACTTAGTCCCATATACCTCTTGTTTGATGTAAACTTGGTCCTTTTTTAACTCTTCGTTAAAAATTCTGTTAAATACAAGTTAAAAAAACGATAATACGCTACTCACTTGACAAAAACCAATATCATCATATGTTTAAAAAACCCACGTCTTTTAAAAAATATGTATTCATCGTCATGTTAAAAGAGAGAAAAACATTATTTTCTTTTACATGAGAGAACAGAGCCACTCTCCAAGTTGAACAGAACCTCTCGCCTAATCGAACTGAGAAATCCTAAATTGTTCAAGATGTTGAAAGCAGATGAAACAACTAAACGATCAATGACACATATGAACCTTGACAGGTATTTCATCCAAAACTTAAGCTCTTCCATTATCTATATGTTAGGTTTATCATGATTCCCCTTTCTTTCTTGCTGTTCTATTAGGGTTTATAACATTCATCCAATAATTGAAGAGTTGGAATTGAGAAACTCTAGAAATCTTAGAGAACTATGTAAGATTATTCATAGTCCAGACTGCACAATTGGTCGTACAAAAAAGATATTTCGTAAAGATGGACTTGTTTTTCAACCTGACAACGGATTAAAAGTTGGATGCGGATTATTTTCACTAGTCGAGTCATTGAGGAAAGCAGATTCGAAGCTGTAGTGCTGCTATGCTCCCGCGAATTCAGATGCTTGTCTTTGCTTCGTTCTCTTGCTATGCTATACTATATAAGATAATTTTTTATTCAAGTACATCAAATGTGCCTAATTACTACAATGCAGCATTGGTCCCTAAGTAGTTCATTCACGAGAACTTCCACTTTCATATTCGCAATGGCTACATTTTTCTATTTCAGATAACACAAGTAAATAAAGAAAGAAGGGGATTAATAGTAAAAGTTGCAAATTTTTTAGGTCTGTTAAGGGAGCTTAGAATAAGATATTTTATGTAGATCCAAAAGTACAGGGACCTTTGAGGGTAACATGGTCATAAATAAAAAATTAAAATCCAATTTCTAACATATGAAAAAAAAAGGACCAAGATTATATCAAACAGTGGGTACAGGGACTAAGTTGAGAGAAAAAAGTGTGAAGACCAATGAGTAAGAGGCCCTAGTACACGGACCAAATTGGTCTTTTAGCCTTAATCCTTCCAAGTAGATAGCAGCGAGCTTAAAGATTGTTGCTTTGTTTCTCAATGGGCTAAAAGGCCCATGAGCCGAAAACTTGTGGCATTTTGGCTTTATTAGAAGCTAGTTGCAGACCCAAATGGCTAAAGGAACAAGCTAGCCTAACCAAAAAATATATCATGGGTCGGGGCAGATTGGGCTGGGGCAGGTGGGGTATGGATTGAGCCAGCGTTGGCCGGGCCTACTTCTCTGACCTTGGGTCTAGAGCTGGACCCAACCCGGCCCGTGACACAAGTATATCATAGGCCATGTCATGCCTCGCCCACTACGGGTCGGGCCAGGTCATGACCCATGGCGGGCTGGAGATAGGGTCAGCCTGCGGATTGACCCGGCCCACGCCCAACCCTAGTCACATATCGAGAACAAAAGCATCATAATTCTAGTTACCTAGTCAACAGGACGGACACTCTATTTTAACTCTGGATTTCCAAATCATGCTAGATCATAGACAATATACAATTTATCATATTGATACAGGCATGGAAGAAAACAAAGGGGATAATTGTTATTGCACTCAGTGAACAAGGTGCAGAAACAAGACTCTCCGATAGTAATAATAAGCACCCCACAAGTAAATACTACCACGTAAACTGATTCGTCTTAGTTCAAGAATAATATCCGCTGTCAACCCCTTTACAGACAATAACAGTAATAGGTAAAAGTTCATCCACTCATTCTAGAGGCAGTCCAGTAGCCATCTGAATGAAAGTCAGGTAAGTCATTGATTGGAAGGCTTTAGATATGCATACAAGGAAAACTGACTATTATTTTACAAGCCTTGAAGCTTTAGCTACCTCCTAAAACAAGTTCAAACGAACAAATTCTTCTCCACAGGAAAATTTATCTGTATCGAGACAGGACAGTTAAGTTCATCCTCTTGGGCCACTGATAGTTATTTCCTCAAGTCTACAGGTAATGATCTTCAAATGACTTCAACTAATCACTGACAAATATGCAAAACTTCACTAGTGAAAGCACAAGCAAGTTTTCAGATACAAGGCAAAGTTATAAAACAGATCATGTAATTTTCAAAGGAATCTACTCCTCTATACTTATAGAATGATTCAAAGATTCACTATTCATGCTACAGTAATACTACACTGAATTACTGTAGCAATACAACTGTACCGCAAACAGGATACTGTAGTGCTTTTAACAATTACTGTAGCATTTACAAAAGACTTTGCTATAGCATTTAAAAGTACTACTGTAGTAGAAATAAAAAAAGGGGTTGTGCTTTGCACAGGGTGCACACTAGTCTCATCTTATAAGCAATCCTAGTGCTAAGACACTAATGCAAAGTTGGAATACAAATCAGAACAAGATAGAAGTAATTCTCACCGTTCTTCTTTGTGGGGCTGCAAAGACATAAATGCCAACCAAATGTACATCGGAGATATAACAACAAGCAGATGCGGAGCATATTTCTTCCTTGCAATTGGCAAGTTTGCCAAGAAGAGCAGAGCAAAAATGAAGCAGAAGTTGAAATTATTGAAAGCATTCCTAAGATAGAACATGGGTCCTTCAGTTCCATACAAATGACTCTCACCACCTCCCAATACGTTATACACCAACAGATTGAAGACTGATGATGTCCATCTTCCATAGCAGTAGTAATCAGCAGTCACAGAGAGCGCCTAAGAAAAAGAAAAGTTGTTTATAAAGGGACTGAAAAATATACATCAACAAACTTTATAGGTACTTTTGCACAAGATTGCAACTGAAACTTGAAAAACTTAAATACAGTAATCTTGGAAGAATGACTTACAAGAGTGCACAAACATGTTCCCAGACCAGACAGTAAAACCTGTTTAAATCTTCCATAATATAATGAAGCTGCTGCCACAGGTAAAAAAACTAATACAGAGAAAGGCCAGCCAATGATCACGCCAGCTGCTGCTACAGAAACGGCCAGAGCATATTTCTCAAGGAGGTAAAAAGCTGATGAAAGAGTGACAGCATACATAGAGAAGGAGCTTGGCAGAAAACCTGGTAAAAGGAGAAGGCAGTATGATCTAAGTTAGGATAAAAAGGACACAACTCATACAAATAGACTAGTTTGATTTCGACAGCAGGCCCAACATAAATAAAGATACATTTAGAATTAAGCATAGTATTGCAATTGTAGAAGAATCAATACCTCTTGCCAAGACAAGTCATCAGTAGTAACCCATAACAAGAATGAGATCTTAAAGGTAGATAAGTGTAAGAAACTCACTTGTACTTGCAAAGAAACTACCACTGGTTAAGCATAACAGTGCAAGTGTGTAAGAACCCATCCTCTTTCCATACTTCCTTGAAAGCGCAACAACCAAGGCACTCTCTGTAATAGTTGAGATGAGACCAAGAAAGAGTCTGACTGAGTAGAAAACTCGAACCTGATAATTTCATTTACAGAAGAAGAAAAATCATCTGTTAAGAACCAGAATGTATTTAGATGAATTAGTCACCTAAAGTATAGAGGCTTCATGAACTTCATCTATAACGAAAATGCACCTTTTCCTCGTTGTAGAACCAGGAAGCAGGTCCAGCAACTAATGCATGGAAAAAGATGTACAAGTATGAACGAAGAGCGAACTGAGAGCTGCAAGATGAAAACGCAATTGAGAAGAGATCTTAAAAAAGAACCCCAAAATTATGACATTTGCCAAGAAAAATACATTGATGGCATCGTGTAGCTGGGTGAGAACTCACAACTGAATTATCCATAGACCTAATCATATATGCAAGAAGAGGGATTTCAAGGTTTTTACACAATTAATGGTGCGATGCAACAAAAGAAGTACCTACAGCACCTAGGGGTGCTAAACCGTATCTGTATCCAAGGTAATATCGGTAACCGTATCCGTTAGGATACGGATATGGTTTTGTAGTGAAATATCCATATCCGTATCCAAAATATCCGAATTCATATTAGTCATACTCTTATGATAGTTTCGATTCTTAGATTATAGATTTGTGATTAATTTTGATAATCAAGATGTCTAATCTTAACTTTTCAATTATAATGAACATATTAACGAACTCTTTCGTATCACATGAACTATGTTTTTCTCCATACTATCTAGTTTTCTCATATCCGTTTTGTATCCGCATGCATATCACATGAACTATGTTTTTCTCCATACTATCTAGTTTTCTCATATCCGTTTTGTATCCGCATGCATATCTGCTCATATATCCGCATGTTCTCCATACTATCTAGTTTTCTCATATCCGTTTTGTATCCGCATGCATATCTGCTCATATATCCGCATGTATATTCATAACCGTATCCGATTTTAGCGGATATAGTTATGAATTTCCCTTACCGAGCTATATCTGTATCTGTATCCGTATCCGAGATGGGTAAGCGGATATGGATATGGTAAGCATCATATCCGAGCTATATCCGGACCAAGTGCACCCCTAACAGCACCATTACACGCGAAAAGGGTCAGATGCTTACACTAGATTATTCCTGTAATTTGAACAATATGTAGCTAGAGATGCATTGTTATCCGGCTACAACCGACCAAATGCACCCTAACATCTCAAATCTTGTATATTTTCCATTGTCATCGTCACAGACCTAGGGTAAGTCACTCTGAAGAGGGACTGTTAGGGCATCCTGAACACCGCATTATCAGCATCCTGAACACCGCATTATCAGCATCACCTCTTTGTCATGCACTATCATTTAGACTCAAGAGTTTCACCACTCAAAGGAATCATTAGCAAGCGGAAGGCATGAGGTTGCTCCGATACCATTTTGCCAGCCTCAGAGAGCTCATACCTAAAAGCTAGTTGTAAGAAGAAAAGAACCTCTAAACATTCAAACAACTCATAGTCTGTATGGTCAATGTGGGACTATATAGCCCTAACAGTCATCCCATTTTTAGTTCCAAAACCGACAAAACACGGGCTTTGCGGAGGATTACAGAAAAGAAGCATGAGATTTGGATCTGATGCCGATAATTAGAAATAAACAAGGACCGATCCCTAAACCTCAAATATCTATAGACGAGCATTCAAACTGCTACTATTAGTTATATATGCCCCAGAACAAACCAAACAGAAACTAAGAAAATGAAGCACAAAACCCTAAAAATTAAATGGGGAAAAAAAAATAAAAGCTCACCTATACTCCCAAGTTTGAAACCCTGATTTGTACAGCACATAATGAAGCGGTTCCCAGTAATTGAACACCTCGTCGCAATCATGAACGATGTTCGACGACGCGCTCATGTGCCGTAAAAGCCCTAGCGCCAGCATCGGCAGGATCCAGCTAAGGCCGCGGCCGTCGTCG